GAAAAATCAATGGCTAAGGTACATATCAGTTTGTGTACAATTATCGACTGTTATAGTTGAAGTAGCAACTGAAACAAAAGTTGATTGTGTGAATGACCACTCTATCAAAAGGTACAATATGTGATCTGTTGAAAGAAGGATATCTTATAAATTCTAGTAGAAAACCTGTAAAAAAAATCAAGCGAACCTCTTTATAAGAGATTCATATTCACGATTTAAATATTCATGAGATTTACCACATCCTACGACGACAGTAAGTGGTAATATGTCAAAATCAATAACAGTGAAAACACTTTACTGGACAGAATGGTGGCTGTGTAGGCTCAAGCCCTTGTCTTTCTGTTCTTATGCCCGAAAGTGCTCTTTTTCTCACTCATAAAAAGTGTCCGCAAATACTAAAAGAAAAGCCTGATTACCCTACGTGTACCAGAGGCAACCCGCAGTCATCATATTCTTCCCTTACACTCCCAAAAAAGCCTTGCCTTGTGATGCTTGAAAAGTGCTCTTTTAATGCCCTCTGCACGTTACTGCCATACTATCAGCTATCATAATATCAAATTCTGCTGGAAAAGGAAAATAATATTCCAACATTAAATTAAAAGTTAACTCAACCATGTATAAAGGATTTTAGTAAACATCAGACAGGGAGAAATTATCTGGTAGGTCTGGGTCTACTCAGTTTGGAAAGTCCTCTTACTCACTTAGAGTTAGCTTATTAGCTTAAACTAATTGACACTACCATAAGAAAGTGAATTAGTAAAGATTACTAGAAAAATAATATAAAGAAGAATCAATTAAAGCTTAAGATACCCTGCTCACTCGCTCGCTTAAATCTCTTATGCATACTTTTTTACCACACTGAAACTAGAACTCTCAAATCCTATAACCTAAGACACAATCAAGTCCAACACCTTAACAAATTCATTTATCTTAACCGGTGCATCAGTCTTCGGTTCTCTCTTCTTTTATATTTTTAATGGCTACCAAACCATGAGTTTACAATTTAATATTGGACGATCATTGGCTATAGATAGAACATATAATAAACACATTCATAGAGCGCTATATTGATTTACATACGGTTATGTACTTTAGCTATCAAGACAAAACGCATCAGCGCCACCAAGCGCGAGTCATTTTGTCTAGTAAAAATAGTATTACAGTGGTTGAGAACGTTATATTAAAACGATTTTGGAGCCTCAGTATGTCACTACAGTCCATGTTACCATGTCCAGCCATGTTCTAGCTCACAGCCATGCATGTTGACAATAGTTCTGCAGCGTAGTTTCAGTTTCAAAAAACTCCATCATTACTTCCTGTTTGCATTCCATGATCTATCTAATGTATGAGTACGACGGTTCCCAGTACCAGTTTGAACAATTCGATCACAAAGAAATTCATAGATTCTGTATCTGGCTAATTGGCAGGCAAGTAATCGTATGGAATAGCATGAATACTCGTTACTTTCTCAGTTGCTTGAAACGGTTGAATGGACTTGTTTCGCTTTTACAGAAAAAAAAAATTCTTTTTAGTTCTGTTACACACTTCTGTCTGGACTACGTGGACTAATTTTGTCATTGATCTTTGTTTTCGTGGGTTTTTTCTAGTTACAAGACGCCGCACTTGCTGGGTCACGATTTGTTGTTTTTCTCTTTCTGGGTGGTTCTGATTCCCCAAGTTATTCCCTATTCAATACCATTATGTATAAGGGATATCGTTGTGATTAGAGGTGATTAGAGCGCTTGACTCCCAATCTGAGGGTCGCGAGTTCGAATCCCGTCTCACCAAACATGTTCCCCCTTTTAGCCGTAGGGCGTTATAAAGAGACGGTCAATCCCAATATTCGTTGGTAAAAGAGTAGCCCATGAGTTGGCGGTGGCTGGTGATGACTAGCTCCTTCCCTCTAGTCTTTGATTGCTAAATTAGGGACGGCTAGTGCAGATAATCCTCGTGCAGCTTTGCGCGAAATTAAAAACACAAACAAACCGATCTGCCCATATCATTTGCGCCGGAAAAGGCTCTTACCTACCCTTCTCACGAGCTATCAATTTTCACAATTTTATAAAACGTTAAACAATGTCAATATGTAGTTCTAATACATGTTGTTCTACCTCAACCTTATATAGACCATGTGGCTTACTTATTTGCATATACAAAATCGTTTTAATGTAACTACTCGACATCGTTTACGTTAATAACTTTAACGGTGTGTTAACCGGCATTGTCCATAAAGAAACTCAAGAGAAAGCTCAAGTTATAAATCTGTTTAAATAAGTTTCGAACCACACATCATTATGACAAAATTCAGAAGTGTTCGTATGTGAGTTGGAACACTTCCTTGTGCTTTATGTAACGTACGATAGACTCTAGACATACAAGCACTAATTCATTTAGAATGAGTTCAGTTCTAAACTTGAAACGTTTATCGGATTAGATGAAAGCAATGAATCAGCTAAGAAAATTATAATATTTCACTTTAAATTTTAACGTTTTGTGAGTAGAACTTGTATTGCACAATCCCCGTAAAGCACAAATTTATTCTCTAGATTTACATATATTTTAAATTACCATTTTAAATTCTTATGTCGGATATTTTGACAACTAATAAATATTTTCAGAATATCAAATTGTATTCCTAACCACCCAGTAATTCCGAAATGCTGATGAATGTTGGCTTTTAAATTTGTTTTATTATCCCAAGAGGAACAAGCAGGTTCAAAGCATATTTTAACAAAACTTAACAATAAACTTGCTTCATGCTGAAGAGACTTGATATTTTCTGGTAATAAAGCATTAATATAAATTAATCAAATTAGTGATGGAATCATAATTTATGTATTTTGGTGCCTATTAAACCCTTTATTTGCATGACACCGTATCTCTGCGGTAGTATTTCTGTATATATATATTTCTGTATGAATAGCAAAACCAGTAAAACTAGAATGCAAAGCAAAAACCCAATTTAATTAATACAGGAACTATATGGATCAAAATCTTGTAAAAAATCGATGCAATTTCATCAAACAGCCTCGAGTACTATGAATAACAGGAAACTGTGCTAGCAGCTTTGCGAGTAATCTCTGTAAGTGCCATATTTTGATTTGGCTCTAACCTTCTTCCATTCTCCCCCATTAAAAAAGTCTGAATAGTAGTTGTAGATATTACTTTTAAGAAATCCCTGTTGTAGTTAACAGGCAGTGGTTACAACGTGAGAATTTGTTATTACAATATTTCACATAGAATCAAAATCTGAAAAATGAAGTAGTCTTTAATTAACATTGATTTTGAAACATGATACCTTAGTCGGAAAAATAAATTTTGTTATTATTATTACGTTCCTAATTTCTGCAAAGTTAATACAAGACAAAATTAATTAAGTTAATGTCGAATTTCACAGTGGAATAATTTCATCCAGTATAGGACAAAATTAATTAATTCAACATTGAATTTCGCAGGAGAATAATTTCAGTCAATACAGGATAAAATTAATTAATTTAATATCGAATTTCACACGTGAATAACTTCATATGAAAACTTTTCTTGGTTATAGATACCTTAATAACAACTAATACAAAATTGGAAAAACACAGTGACATTCGCTTAATAATGACTGTAGTCGCTGTTTCTGAATAAACAAATAAAACTACGTATGCAAAAATATAACAAATAATGTATTTTGAGCTTCTTTCGGTTCGTACTTTATTCGGTGGTGAAGAAAGAACACAATACGTGTTTCTGTAAAGCACATTAATTAAAATTCTCAATGACGTATAAATCTTATATACAATAGGAAAAAAGATCAACAGGCAGTAAAATACATCACCTATATACGATATTTTAAATACAAAACGTTGTTCAGTTTGAATTTGATTGTTTGGTTGCAGTTAAGCACAAAGCTACACAATGGGCTATCTGTGCTCTGCCCACCACGGGTATCGAAACTCGGATTCTAGCGTTATAAGTCCGCAGACATACTGGAGTGCCACTGGGGGCAAGTTGTTTAGTAAGTGTTGCAACAAACTTGTAAATTACAATACTTATCATTGACTAGTCATCAAAACATTGATTTTCTATATTCTATATAACAGGTCTCGATTATTTAGTAACGCTCGAGCTTTATCTAACCCGGGAAGCAACAGTGGCACCGAAAGTTTTTTGTGCCGTATAACTAGTTAAAAATCCTTAGCAACAAGATTTCTTCGATGAAATTAATCAATTTCATCAATATTTACCACAACGGAGAATATTGAGCTTTGTCACAAAAACTCTTGGAACGAGTTGTTTTTATTAAACAAAGAGAAGCACTATGAAATGCATGGAATGCTCGTGATATTAAACAATTATTTCCCGTACTTTGTATTCTAAATGCTACTATGTACTTTGTTTGTAAAAATGTTTTTATGGGTGAATGTATCATAGTTTTCATATAGGAAAAGATTATACTCAAATTATATATTTAATGAAAATTAAATATCAACACAAAAGAAAACTGTTAACATTATTAATATCATGATACATTTCGAAACCGTCAAGTATATTTCCCGCTGCTCAAATCTGTTACTTTTAGTGGTCATGTTTATACTTTGTGAAATGAATTATTTTTCGTGTGAACCTTACTGCAAATTTCTATTTAGTAATTTTCTGATGTTAGATTTATATGGTTTAAACAATGTTTCCTATATTGAGCGATTTGGTAAGTGTCGATGTTGAGTAAAAAGTCTTTATGTGCATCAGTATATCTTTTGGTAAATGTCGATGTTGAGTAAAAAGTCTTTATGTGCATCAGTATGTTTTGTGTCATTTCGTATGCAATAAGATTTTATTGATTAATGCTTTCTGTCAATAAATAAGTATTAAAACAGTCATTATGCTGGTTTTTCTATACAGATACTCCGCGTTGCAAGTACAATCAAACAACAAATGTTTTTGGAACTACAAGACACCGGCCCGTGGACATAACGTGTGAAGTCGAAGCAAATCCACAACAAGTAGCGTTTCGATGGGTTTTCAATAATTCTCGAGAAACCTTTGATGTTGTAACTTTTAAGAATGTTAACACAAAAAGTGTGGTAACCTATACTCCTCGCACAAAATTCGATTATGGAACTATGCTCTGTTGGGCTACAAACACAGTGGGGGTGCAGTCCTATCCGTGTGTGTTCTCTGTCGTACCTGCAGGTAATCAAATACTGAAAATTAAAAAATTCCACAAAAATATTTTCTCCTTTGGATATTCATACTTATACTGCCTGGTGAGCACACGTTCCGACTATACTTCTGTACCCGAAAATTGTGAATATTAAACACAAGTATTAAACATACACTTTGAACTCTACACGAACTCCTCAAAGGAACTAATATACGGTCTGGGCCAATAAGTTTGCATATTTTGTAAAAAAAATAAGATCATTATTGTTAAGATCGAATACAAATACACTTGGCGCTGTCAAACTGAGAAATACTTGTTATATCAAACATCTAAGTATGTAATTTGTATAATGAGGCAGGTTCTATGGACATCATGAACGATTTATTAGAACAGCAAACAATTTCATCCGATACCTGTAGAAAGTTGTGTAAGTCAGCGTTTCACCTATCCCAACAAAACCTTACCAAAACATATAAAATGACAAAATAAAGAATCAAATTATTACAAATATCGTCTGTAACCTTATATCAGTTCATATTAAACATTCAGTACTTGGTTGTCCTACTGGTACTCTAATAACCTCCGCAAGGCGCTGCAACTCAGCTGCAGTAGCTAGTTTCGGGTCATGATTAACAATGTTATGGTTCAGTTCTACTCAGCAGTTCTCAGTGGGATTATAATGTTGAGACTTTGCTGGCCATGACAATTTTATAACATCCTTCTGGTCGAGATAATCCTGTACAATAATCGCACTGTGGATAGTGGCATTGTCATCCTGGAACACACAGTTACTGTCAAACCTTGCCCTAGCATGTGACAGAAATATCGTCTCCATGTGATACTTGTACGTTTCCCTGGAGGATATGAAGAGCAGTTTTTCCAATATAATGAATAACTGCCCAAACATGTGCTGCACCACCTCCTGTATATTTCCTCTAAAGAAAGACAGTCTTCTTTCATCTTTTCTCCAGGCAAGTGACGAACACAAATCCTACAATGGGCTTTAATAAATTGGAAATAGGACTCATCTGAAAAGATGACATGTCTCCAGTGTTCTAACTGGAAGTTGGCTTGTCCAAGTAACACAGGGATGGAGTGAATTCTGGTTATTATCGGTTTGCAGATAGACCTTCTTGCAAAATAACCTTGTTTGGTCAATCTCCTATTCACTGTTCTTCTGAATTTCCTGGAATGAATGTGTTCATACCATTCCTATTATAAGGTGTTGCAAGACTTCTTTCGACCTTGACATGTTAACCTGATCAGAACATGTTTATCCAGGTAGTAGATTTTTGGCGTCTACCAGCAGACTTTCCTGGAACAACGTTTCATTTTGTTCGATGACGTTTAAGAATTCTAGATACAATACGTTTACTTCATACCATTTGTGGACAGTCGAACAATTTCACGCCCTATAGCTTCTGGCACGTGACGAGGCATAATTTTACACGAAGTACAACGAAATTGTCTGAACAAAGCGTTGATCTGTTGCCAAAAGGATTATACTAAAAGCACACCCTTTTATACAAAACAGGTGTGTGTGTGTTTTGACGAATACATGCTCGAAACAATTTATACAGACAATAATAAAAACTCGTTCATATTTGTCCGATCATATGCTAGCTTTTCTGTAGACAATAACATCAATATAGAACAGTATGTAAATATTTTGGCCAAGACTGTACTAAATATTTATTTATTGTCGAATGAATTCTGACTACTCTTCGCGATTCTATTAAACTTCTCGTTTTCTAATATAAAAAAGACTTGCCATTTTGTATCTTATATGTCATTTGGCCATTGATGAAAGTGATTGATGATTTGCTGAGACTCCACAATGTCTGTACAATGCTAAAGATTGGTTTCTTATTTAGCATATATACAGTGTTAGAGAGTTACCCGTTACCACTACGTTACCTCTTCTTGTCTTCTTCAAGTAGCAAAAATCTCTTATACAGTAGGTTTTAGATAGAAATTATAACAAATATTAAATTTTGGCCGAAGAATATTTGGGACAATGTAGTGGCCTAGTTAATAAATTACGAAATAAAAAGCAATGAATATTACAGCGAAATCTAACATTTTCAGAATATAAGTTCTAGGCACGAATAAGTTTAGTTAAATTTATTACTTAGTACGAGAAAGCTAATGACATTTGTCTTGTAATTTATACGTAAGTGTTTTGATATTAGGTGAATTTGAAGACATAACCCTATAGTTATGGATTGAGTCTATATACTCCAGTAAAACTATAAAACATTTTTCTGACTTGTTTATGCACTAATACCTTCATAATTTTGCAGACCACTAATTAATACTAGGGTTTCCTATCAATTTTACATGAAAGAGGGTCTTGTAACAGGCAGCAACATAAAACTGTTCAATATAATGCTTCGGTAATACACGGCTTATAACCAGTTCGGTAGCTAGATAGTTAATCGCTATGACGATCTGATCATATCGTTAATTGAGCTTAGAGATCATCATTTTCGAATTCATTTAAAATAATTTATGAAGTAGAATAGGATAGAACATCAGTTTAACTTGTACTTGTAAAATGTTTGTATTTATTTTAGGACCTCCAGAAAAGCCAAAAGATTGTAAAGTATGGAACGTTACAGTTGATTCAGTTGAAATATTCTGTAAACAAGGTTTCGACGGAGGATTAAAGCAGTATTTTGTTATGGAAGTGCACGATGAAAACTTACATAGCCTTCGAGCTAACCTTACGTCCTCTGTTCCGACATTTCTGTTACGAGGCCTAGACGATGGTTCTATGCTGAAGCTAATAATTTATGCCGTCAACATTGAGGGAAGAAGTGATCGAAGTGTCATTACTATCAATACAATCTCAGATTGGGTTGGCAGTGCCGGTAAAATATTTATATATAAACTTGTCTTGTCAGACTTATCGAATTTGTTCATTTTAGTGAAATATATTTTTCTACGCATTGAAGCTATGTAGTTTAATCCTTCTTTCACATCAACAATAGGTGGTCAAATTACGACAATAAAGAATTTAAATACAAACATTGTTCTAGAATTGTAAATATAGTGTATAGAAGTTACCTGTTTTTATTTCTAAAATACAAATAAATTATATATTTCGGTTAATAAAATGATTTTAACTTTTCTTTATGTACGTTATAGTGATGTCCAATTTAGGTGACGGGGGGAATGTCACTTTGGGTCCTCTACTGATGATTCTTGGAGCGAGCCTCGCTGTATTGTTAGTGGTAGGACTAAGCCTTCTTCTCGTGGGAAATATTCGTTCTAGGAGGCAAGGCAGTCAGAAACCAGGTAAAGGTTACCTTATTCTAACAAAAATAGTTTACTATTAGAATTTACCTAAGATATACTGGTGTCAATTTTCGGTGAAAACGCTTAGTACAGAAACATTAAATATTCATATCAGAGCCGTTCGTTGGCTCAGCGGCAAATCTGAGAGCCTATAACGCTAACATTCGGTTTAGATACCTGTGGTGAGTATAGTACAGATAGTCAATTCGGTAGCGTTGCGCTTAGTAACAAAAATAAACTAACGAACAGTCATATCAGGGCTAGAAAGCAGAAAGTTGAAGCAAGTCTAAGAAAAATTGCTGACTATATGTCATGTTGATTATGAAATTATTTAAATTGATGTATGTGATTTCTATCAACGTTTAAATATATAAACGTTTACCTAGTTTTCATATTTAACACGTTGACTGTCAAGGCATCACCGGTGGTACATTTGGCGTTATTACTTATTGTGCTATTGTATCACTGATGATGATTCAGACTATACTTTTCCGTCTTCCATAGAACTGATTTAGCGTGCGGAGAAAACTCTTTATCTGGCCCGTTGGCGTCTAGTTGAAGATAAACACGAAGCAACATGTTGCATGTATCACAGGTGACACACTCGACATGAATGTAAACGTGCAATTACTTTGATAAAATAATTGGATAATAATGTGAGGTATTTTTATATAAAACGATTAAACAAACCATTTCATTGCATAGAAATTTAAAATTATACAACATATGCATAAAAAAGTGAAACGTAAACTAAAGTTCAAATTTCATGAATAATAAAAAAATGAAAGTTTGTTTAGAATTAAGCACAAAGCTACACAATGGGCTATCTGTGCTCTGCCCGCCACGGGTATCGAAACCCGGATTCTAGCGTTGTAAGTCCGCAGACATACCGCTGTGCCACTGGGGGGCT